TGTTCCACGCACACCGCGTTAATGCCCCGGAAGTCCACACAAAGCCGAAGACCCCCGTCCTCCTTCTCCTGGAATAGAACCGGGACGGCTATCGGGGAACGGGCTGGCTGTATGAAACCCCTTGCTAGATTCTTATCTATATAATGCCTCAACTCCTGTAGCTCTAACGGCGTCATAGGATACATCCGGGGCTTTGGTAACTTAGCCCCCGGTTGAATCTCGATCGCGCAGTCAGTTGGGCGATGGGGTGGCAGGCTATCGCATTTGTTTTCACTAAACACTGCAGCCAGGTTGTTATACACGGCTGGGAAACCATTTTCCCCTTCCTCCTGGGTTGTTTTTAACCCCTCCACACCTTTTTCAGACCCAGCCGGCTCCTGCTGGGGTGGCTGGGGTCCAACCCCAAGCCGCAAGTGACGACACCCCTCAGCCCACCACATAGTTGGAGTCCACTTGTCTAGCCAGGCCAGCCCTAAAATCACTGCCTCGGTCATAGACGGCACTACAATGAACCGGAGCATCTCCCAGTGTTTACCCATTTCCATCCTCATCGGTTCTGTGACCAACGTGGCCGGGGCCCCACCCAAAAGGGACCCGTCCACCTGCTCAAAACGGATGGGGGACGCTAACCGGGTTACTCTAATGGCCACCTTCTCCACGACCTCTCTGCTGATCAAACAACGGGTACACCCTGTGTCAATTAGGGCTTGGTAGTCGCCTGACTGCCCCATTAGTGGGCTTGTCAAGGTGATAGTGATGGCAAAAGGAGCAATGGGTTGACTCATCATTGGGTCCTCTGCCAGATCTCCCTCGTCATACTCTGCGACGGGTCCTTCGGCGGATGTTGGTTCCACCGTCGGCCGTTGGGGAGTTCCACTTTCCACCTGCCGGGCTGCCCTTGACCGCTCCGTGGTCCTCTTTGGCGTAACCTCGGGCTTACCTGCAGCAGTTGGGGTGCTGGTGGTTGCTGGAACCGGACATTCTGCGACCCGATGGCCTGGCCGATTACACCTGAAGCACGTAAACACGGCTTCTGGGGTGGAACTGGGAGTTAGGGGTTGTCGGTCGAGCTCTTTCGGCCGTTCCACGACCCGTCGAGGGGCTGACTGCTCATCTGGTGTCCGCCGGAACTCTTGCAACCCTGCCTCCAACTCTGCCACCACCTGGAACCAGTCTGGGAGCCGGCACGGGATGCCTCTAACCACACATGCCCGGTGCAAGTCCTTTTACAAGCCAGCCCAGAAGTGATGGACCAAAAGACGTTCTGGCCATGAACGGAGCCTCCCAGCGGCCCGCTGAAACTCCCGGACGTATTCTCTTGCAGACCGGCCTCGTTGTCTCAACCCCAGCACCTCCGCCTCGGCTCGCTGCACCCGGGTCCTCAAACCTGGTCTTTAAGGCCTCCAGGAATAGGCCGTCGGCCAACTCTCTGGCGTGATCACTATAAAGGTCCGCAGCCCAGGCCGCTGCCTCTCCCTGCAAGCTGGCCATCACCACGACCACCATTGCCCAATTGGACAGGTATAAGGAGGCGAAGCGGTCTATGTGGCTGAGCACATGGCTCATGAAGATCACCAAATGGTCTGGGTCACCATCAAAGGCCACTGCTATGGGAGGTGGATTCCACATTACAGCTAGAGGCCAGGGGGCTGTTGCCTGTGCTGTATACTGGGCCCCATCCGGGACCCCAGCACGGCGGGTGTCGGGGCCCGGTCCCCATGAGCCTGAGGACCCTGGCACAGGTCTTGACTGCCTGGCAGGGGCTGCAGCCGGACCCCCAGCCAACCGGCCTTCACGGTGGTACTGAGGCTCAGCTGAAACGGGTCCCCCATAAGGCCCCATCTGGGAAGGGTGACTGCCGGGGTCTAGCCTAAGTTTTGGGCTGGCTAAATGGAACCGGGGGCCTCCGATGGCAGCCCTAGCCCAGGAGCAGCCCTGAAATGCGGTGGCGGTGCAAGGTATCCCGTTTCTCCGAATTGGGCCCTAAGAACGTCCAGGGTGTATTGTCCTGGGGCTGTGGAGTAACTCCACTCCTCTTCTTCGTCCCCAGTGATGCGTCTCTCCCTCCAACCAGTCAAAGGGGGGCCTACTCCTGCAGTCTGTTGCCTGCTGGCCTCTGATTGGTGCAGAGCAGGACTTAGACACCATCCCCAGACGAGAGGGTAGAAGTGGGCTGCTGTGGCTCCCCCTTCGTGTCCACAGGCAGCTGGGCTTTTTCTTTCGGCCTAACCACCGGCTGGACCTCCCCTTCTTCGGGTGCAGGTGTTAACTCAGGCTGCCCTGTTTGATCCGTTGCCTCCTCTGCCTGTGGGATGCTCTGGGTCCCCTCTGCCATATTCGTTAGTGCTGTTCTTCCTCCACCACCAGGACCCGGGGATTGAAAACTACAAAGTAGTAAAAGATTTCTCTTTTTTCTTTGGTGAGTGCTAACTTACTGTCAGACGTCCTCTTTGAACTGAGCCGACAAGCCAAGGAAAACAGGAACGCCAAACTATCAGGTGTTTTATTTCACACATGAAACAAAGTTAGCACTGGGAGTGGCTTGCTCCCAGTGCCTTACATAGAGTAGTCACGCCCCAATCACGCCACAGGCTCACTGCACCCTCAACTAACCCCACCCAAGTCGTTAACTCCAGTCCAGGTGGAACGGAAAGGTTCCATCTATCCGTCCGTAACTCCACCCCCCCCCAGGCATCAGCCATCCCGCAACAAGGCACGTGAATAGCTCACCCCAATAGGCACATGTCCAAGCTCTGCCCTCCTATTTACGTCGCTCCCATCTGGCTATCGGCCCGGCGAGGCACTTCCACATGACGTCATTGGCCCGCGACACCAACGGCAGCAAAGACAGGAGGCAACAGGGCGCCGGCGGTAGCAAGGGCAGCAGATAGTCATCACGGACCCTCCCAGACGGCAGTGCGGCACGGCAGCTTCATCTCCAGCCGTTCCGGGTGAGCAGGCCTCGCAGGGCACGACACCGGGGGTGATATCCCACATTGGCCACGAACGGTGTCATCTGCTTGGAGGTGTGCTGCGAATTATTGAACGTGAACTCAGCCACCACCAAATAGTCCGCCCAATTGTTCTGCTGCTGATTGACATAGCAGCGCAGATATTGCTCGAGCATCCCGATGACCTTCTCGGTCCCTCCGTCAGTTTGGGGATGATGTGCGGACGAGAGGCAGATCTTGACATCCAATGCCTGCATCAACCCCTGCCAGAAACGGGCTGTGAACTGGGCCCCTCTATCGGACACGACCCTATCAGGAAGGCCGTGCAGCTGGAACACCTGCTGGATGAACATACAACCGGTGGCGTGGGCAGACGGCAAGCCACGGCATGGGATGAAATGCTCCATCTTGGTCAGTATGTCCACCACCACAAACACCATCGTGAATCCAGAAGACGAGGGTAAGTCCATCAGGAAGTCCATGGACACAGCCCCCCAGGGTCTTTTAGGTGTCAGCAAGGGCTGCAGTAGTCCGGGCGGGGCCCCCATCGCTGACTTGGCCTGTCTACATGGGATATAGGACGTGACGTAGGCCTGGACATCGTGTCGGACTCGGGGCCACCAGAAGGTACGGGAGACCAAGTTCAGGGTCTTGAACAGGCCAAAATGCCCCGCAGCTGGATTGTCATGACACTGCCTGAGCGGTCCTCCCGGAACATAGAGCTGGTCACGATAGTGGAGGAGTCCATCCGTGACTGTCCATGGGGAATTGGGCCCCACCTCCTCCTTTCGCTGATCCACCCAACCATCCTGCTGCTGGGCCTCCCGAATCCGAGCCCGTACATCTATCAGCTCCCGCACTGCAGCAAAAGACTCGATGGGGAGCACTGTCCAGGGCAGAAACTTGTCTTCTACTTGGGAATATTCGGGCTTCCTGGACAGAGCATCCGCTCTTTGGTTGTGACCACTGGGTATGTACGTTACATGGAAATTGAACCTCGCAAAGAAGAGAGACCACCGGATCTGGCGTTGGTTCAATTTCTGAGCAGTCTGCAGGCTTTCCAAATTCTTATGGTCCGTCCGGACCTCGATTTGATGTCGCACCCATTCCAGATGATGCCTCCAGGCCTCGAACGCCACTTTAATGGCCAGTAGCTCCTTCTCCCAGATGGTATAGTTGCGCTCCGCCGGATTCAATTTCCATGAATAGTACGCGCAAGGGCAGTGTCAATGCTGCTAATATTGAATATTCTTGCTTTGACAAATTATGCTGAACTGTCTGGTACTTTTAAAGTTAATTCAGAGGAGAATGAGGGAGGAGGGAAAAGCCCGCAAAAGAGGACGGAAGAGAACCTTTGCCCTTCAAACTAATTGGAGAACGTAAATTATGACAGCAGAATAAGGGAGGGGAAATGCTAGCAAAAATAACTGCTCGGTGGGTGGAAATTTCAGATCTTAGCGTCCCTTTTATCATGCCGTGCCGACATTTTGTCACATGAATAAAAAAGACTTTTTAGGATAAGATGCCTGGAAGTTCTTTGAAGTGTTTCATTAGTCGGAACCATGACATCATGCTAAGATCTCAAATTCTTTTCAATCGACCTGGGGTCCTGAACCCCATCCGCTGTCTCTAGGTTTGAGAGGAGCTGGTAAAGTGAGTTAGCTTCAAGACCCAGCAGTTGCTGATAACCTAGAGGAGGAAACAACAGACAGTATGCTGTGGGAAGATGAATTCTGGTAGATCTCCCAGCTGGGAGCGAAGACTTCAAAAGCAGAATGGTACAGAGCTAACGAATGGCCTGCTACTCAAGCTTTGGGTGAGTCACTGGAAAGATTTCAAACCCCAGATGTGAAAAGCAGAAATCGATTCCTGCAGAGAAAAGCCTACAGCCCCTCCCTTGTAGATCAACGCCCCAATGGCAATGTCAGAGGCATCCGCCTCCACGACAAACGGCCATTTCGGGTCAGGATGCTTCAGTATGGGCTCCTTCATGAAGGCTTCCTTCAAAGCCCAGAAAGCTCGTTGTTCTGGAGCGTCCCACTGAAACCGAGTCTTTTTCTGCAGGAGCCGAGTAAGGGGGGCTGTCATGGTAGCAAACCCGGGGATGAAAGTCCGATAATAGTTGGCGAACCCAAGAAGTCGCTGGACATCCTTCACGCGACATGGGGGTTGCCAACTATGCAGAGACTCAACCTTACTCGGCTCCATGGCGATGCCCTCAGGAGAAATGCGGTGACCCAGGAACTCGATAGTCATGTGGTAGAACTGGCACTTCTCCAGTTTGGCGTACAGCCGATGTTCTCGGAGCCACTGCAGGACCTGACGGAGATGCTGATGGTGCACCTCTCACGACGGGGAGTAGATCAGGCTGTCGTCCAAGTAAATCACGACAAACTGATCTAACAAGTCCTGGAAAATGTCGTTCATAAAATGCTGAAAGACGGCAGGGGCGTTGGTCAGGCCAAATGGCATCACCGTGTACTCAGAGTGCCCGTACCGAGTACCAAACGCCATCTTCCACTCAGCACCCGACCGAACTCTGACAAGGTTGTAAGCTCCACGCAAGTCCAGTTTCGTGAAGATCTTTGCCTCCCGGAGCCGGTCCAAGAGTTCGGGGATGAGGGACAGCGGGTATCGGTTGCGCACCGTGATGGCATTTAATTTCCTGTAATCACAGCAAAGCCGCAATTTACCGGACTTCTTCTTGACAAAGAGCACGGGTGCAGACACTGGCAAGGACGAGGGCCGAATAAAACCCCGAGCCAAATTCTTGTCCAAAAAGTCCCGCAACGTGGCCAACTCGGGGTCTGACATGGAATACAAACGCCCCACTGGGAGAGGCGTGTCAGGGACTAAGTCAATGGGGCAGTCATAGGGCCTGTGTGGGGGCAATTGATCCGCCTCAGTCTCGCTGAAAACATCAGCATAATCCGCCAGTTCAGAGGGTAAGGAGACACCTGTGGGCCCCTCTACCTGGCCGGCACAGATTTGCCGGGTGTGGTCCACGCACTGTAAGCTTGGGAAGATGACCAAGTTCTGTGACCAATAAATCTGTGGGTCATGCGCCCGGAGCCACGCCATTCCCAAGACCACGGGGAAATGCAGGTCTGAGGTGATATAAAACTGGATGGCCTCCTCATGGGTACTGATGGCCATACATAGCGGTTGCGTGGCAGCCTTAATTGGCCCAGACCGAAGCACTCGACCATCAATGGTCTCCACTAACATCGGTGGATCCACGGGGCATTGGGGAATCGCCCATTGAGCCACGAATGCTGCGTCTATAAAGTTCGTAGTGGCCCCAGAGTCAATCAACGTATGGACAGGAATCCCCTTGGGCAACCCGGGGAGAATCAGGTGCGCCTCCAATATCAGATGTCGTGGGGGTCCGTGGGCAGCATCTGAAGGGTGTCGCTCGGTGTTGCGGGATGCCCGACCCAAAATGCCCTTCAGGTCGGGCTTGGGCCGTTTCCTGACAGAGGAGCAGGTGGCAGTCTCGGGGCAGTCTCGGTCACAGACGCCCTTCGTTGCTTCTTGGGGCAGAAAGTGGCCAAATGCCCAGGGTCCCCACAGTAAAAACACAACCCCCACGAACGTCGCCTGTTCATCTCTGCCACCGATAGGCGAGGTCTGGCAGCACCTAACTCCATTGGCTCCTCCCTCTGGACCGGGTTCTCACGCACAACGGGGGAAGCACGGGTCTCTGGGGTGGCACGGCGACTCCTTTGCTACTGCAGCCGAGCGTCAATCCGCAGACAGAGATGAATGAGCCCATTGAGGTCCGGGGGAACATCAACACAGGCCAGCTCATCCAACATCTCCTCCGACAATCCATCCTGGAAAGCGTCCACGAGCACAGCCTCATTCCAAGCTGAATCCTGGCTAAGCAGCCGAAATTCGCTGATATAGCCCTGCAGAGGGCGTCAGCCCTGCTTCAAAGCTTTCAAACATCGGGTAGCTGTCTGAGTCTTGATGGGGTCCTCGTACATCATCCGCATGTAATCACAAAACCCCACAAAGTTGTCCACCAATGGACTAGGTTGGGCTAGCAGGGGTGTGCCCCAACGAGCTGCAGCACCAGAGAGCAGGCTTATCATAAACCCCACTTTATCCCGGTCAGTGGGGAAATGAGCCGCTCTCACACCGATAAATAGCTGGCATTGTCCCATGAAAACAGGAAACATGTCTTGATTGCCATCAAATTTATCTGGCATCGCAACTTGGCATTTTCTCCTGGGTGGTGGAGCAGCAGGGACGTGTGCTTGGAGCTGAGCCACTTGGGCTGATAACAAAGCCAGCTGCTGAGAGAGCTGGGCATTCTCAGCACGTAGCTGCTCCATAATAGTAGGGGGTTAGGCTGAAGGCAAACTGTTCTGTCCCAGCCTACGTCCGTCCTTGTTACGTCACAAGAACAAACCTCTCTTAAACAGTAGGCTGGGAAAACCAACCTCTTTTTATTTTCAAAACAGTCCTGATAAGTTTTTCTCCAAAACAAAAACACAGAATACTTTCCTAACAGATAATTGGTTACAAAAGCAAACAGAGCAGAAGTTTAAACAAGAAATTCACTGATAAAAGAAAACAGACCATGATCCATGGAAGTTCTTTACAAACGGTTGCTTTCAGCAACCAGCACCGCCCACACCTTCCCTTTTTATAAAGCAGTCCCAAGGCGTGGCTTCTCAATGCCTTCTCCTCCTCCCCTGGAGTTGTCGTATTGACTGCTGCTTATCTGCTCTAGCTAATTGCTTGTGTCTACGAGCATCAATCATGTCCATCAGGTGTGAATCCTCCAAGTCTGACTCATTCTCCCCACACAGCTGAGCTTCATCCAGAACACGACTGGAGGGCCCAGGCTCTTCATCAAACCGTGAGTCTTGTAATTCATCAGAGCCTCCCTCTGACCCTGATGGCCCTCCACCCTGATGGCCTTCTCCACCTCCTCCTCAGATTCCCCGGACTCAGCTGTTGGGAACACAGGCTGGCACGGAATCACAACAGGACCCTAGAAACGTGGGTCCTCTGAAAAACTCTAAAAGTAGTGTATAATAAAAGGTTATTAAAGAGCGAGGATTACTGTACGCTGCCTTACGGCTATTAAGGATGGTGGAAAACATTGCACAATTTGTACACCCTTTCTCCTGTATTATAAGCAGGCTGTCCAATTCTGGCAAATCTTTTTTTATCAAACAAATGTTAGAACATGGTGATGTTGTGTTGTCTCAAATGCCTCAAAATATTGTATGGTTTTATAGCTGTTGGCAACCTCTGTACAAAGAACTGCTTAATAAATTCCCTTATATTAAGTTTATGGAGGGGCTTCCGTCTTCTTTTGAAGATGATGATTTGGCCCTTCCCACCTTTATAGTTTTTACAAACAGCTTTACCATTTGATCATTTTTAATATCGGCATTGGAGTACATCTTTAAAATATTTTCATAGTCCACTCCTTTAGTCCGGTTCAGTAGAAAAAACGCACAGTGTTGCCCGCAGGTCACAGCGCTGGGGTGTTGCAGTTGACGTTGGTGAAATGTGTACTTCTCAGCTTGCTGCTCTAAAAACATCACTATGGAGCCAGGAAAGTCAGGGCTATCCGGCGGCCTTCCATAAGAATCAAAAAATTCGCCATATCCGGGAGATGGGAAGTAGAGGGCCAGCCAGTGTTCACCAGGCAGAGTGTGAGGGTGGGTATTTACAATTAATCCAAAAGGTCTTTTGGAGATTTGTCTCTGGGGTAGCAGGTCACAAGGGTAGACCCCTAGAAAGGCAGTATTTCCAGAGAACAAGTGGAGCAGCTGCAGTGTGTCCATACTCACATATAATCAAAAAGCACATTCCTTGTGTGACTTATTTCAATAAGGTTTTCAAAGATTGCATAGAGAATCATGTTGACGGTGTTGGGGAGGGGTTGTGCAAATCTAATTTCGGCTCTGAGGTTACCGTTCCTGATCAAAAAATAGTGCTCAGAGCACCCCTGATCAGGACTCAAGTCAAAACAATACAAAGTATACCCTCGGTTAAACTCTTCCCGGCTGATTAACAGCGGCCTGTCTTTCATGCCTTTGCCTGTGGCTTGCACCATCTGCATGTACTCTCTCACAAAAAGACCGTGTTCATAATCAGGCTGAAGAGGCTTTGCGGGGATCTGCTCACCATCACAATGCAGGGCGCAAAAATTGACATTGCAGTGTTGAAAATTGAATGGGTTTCTTTCATAATCCCCACTAAAAGATGCATTGTCCACAAACCCAATCACTACCAGTAATTGTTTAGGTAGCTGCCCCAGAAATAGATTGTCCTGATTACACACAAGGCTACCTGCAGAAATGCTGTAAACCTTCATCCCCACTCGATCAATGGGGTATTTGGCACTGGAGGTGAGCAAAGCTTCTGCATGGCCAAGGCGCACTCCCGGGGCTACTTTTACACGTTTTACAAAGAGAGAAGCCGCCAGGAGTTGCACTTTGTAATTCTCATTGCCATCCTTCATCACGCAAAATTCATTTCTGCTTCTTGTGAGTTTGACTTTCACATCAACACCGTTAATTAGCAGTCTGTCTTGAAAAAACAGATCGCTATGCAGAGGCCCTAGCAGGTCCCATTTACGACTACCGGCCGTGTGTCTTGCTCTCGCTTTGAAACCGGAGTTCAGTAGAGTATTCTCCATGAGGGCCGAGTCATCTTTGTAAAAAAAAACCTGCTGTAAATTGGGTACCCAGCACATCACCACCAAAGTTCAGAATCAGTTCAATCACGGCCCGATAAGAATAGCAATGATGGCTCTGTGTAATGAGCCAATCTCCCAAGGTAACATCCAGCTGGTTAAACAGTGATGCTATGGGGTAGTTGGTCAGGGCCACCCTTGCCCCATCATCAATATCAGCCCTGTCAGCCTTTACAATCTTGCAACTCACATACAGCAGGGTATTGTTTAAATCCATGTAATGCTCACCATGCCCCGTGATAAAAAATTCCAGGGGAGCGTTGGGTGTTAGCGCTGATAAAGGAGGGATCTCGACATAGGTACTGTTTTCAATACTGGTCTGTGTAGGTGCCAGTTGAAAAAGATCCAGTTCTGATTTAACACATTCCTCTGAAGCAGAATGAATAAATGACATATTGTATTAGAATATGTCTTCCTTGTCACAGGGCTTCCTTTTCTGCGCACGTCTCCTCTTGGTATGATGGGTCTTTTTCACAAGTCTTCTCTTTTTAAACAGAATAGGTGGGCCCGATGCATAATTCTTCCTGGCTATGAACATTCCTGATCCATCCTGCCCCCTCTCAACAACACGGGATACAAGATGCCCCGCAACATCTCTGGCAATGTTTTTGGCAGCAGATTTCACATGTGGCTTAATGATTTCTAATCCTCGCCTGAAAAAAAGGCATTGCTTTTTGAAAAAGCCCACGGAACAGACCCCCTAAACCTGTCCCGTACATAATGGGGGCTCCTCGGAAGCCTGGAAGGCCGCCACTGGCTTGTGCCCTGTAGTAAGCCACGTAGTCTTGAGGGCTCCTGTGCTCCTTGATTACAACCATCCTTCACTTTTCCGAGGCCTAAAATGAAGCTTGACAATCACCTTCCCGTGATAAAAATGCACGTTTTTGTCCTGGTCGGTTTTGATTTCTATAGTAACGGTATCGATGTGATGTTTGCTGACCGGTACATAATGTGGACGGTCATAGGTCATTGTGATGAAATCATTGTCTTGCCCTCACACAGGCACACAGCGCAGTAATGGCACATAGAAGTCACCTACTATCTGGAGCTCTACAATGTCTGTGTAAACATATAAGGTGCTGAATCCAGG